ACCTACAGTTGTATGTTTGTACCGACACTGTCTCCCTATTTTACTGGTTCAACACTAACCTACAGTTGTATGTTTGTACCGACACCGTTGTCTCGCTATTTTACTGGTTCAACACTAACCTACAGTTGTATGTTTGTACTGACACCTCTGTCTCCCTATTTTACTGGTTCAACACTAACCTACAGTTGTATGTTTGTACTGACACTGTTGTCTCCCTATTTTACTGGTTCAACACTAACCTACAGTTATTTTACTGGTTCAACACTAACCTACAGTTGTATGTTTGTACTGACACCGCTGTCTCCCTATTTTACTGGTTCAACACTAACCTACAGTTGTATGTTTGTACTGACACTGTTGTCTCCCTATTTTACTGGTTCAACACTAACCTTCAGTTGTATGTTTGTACTGACACCTCTGTCTCCCTTTTTTACTGGTTCAACACTAACCCACAGTTGTATGTTTGTACTGACACCGCTGTCTCCCTATTTGACTGGTTCAACACTAACCTACAGTTGTATGTTTGTACTGACACCGCTGTCTCCCTATTTTACTGGTTCAACACTAACCTAAAGTTGTATGTTTGTAATGACACCGCAGTCTCTCTATTTTACTGGTTCAACACTAACCTAAAGTTGTATGTTTGTACTGACACCGCTGTCTCCCTATTTTACTGGTTCAACACTAACCTACAGTTATTTTACTGGTTCAACACTAACCTAAAGTTGTATGTTTGTAATGACACCGCAGTCTCTCTATTTTACTGGTTCAACACTAACCTACAGTTGTATGTTTGTACTGACACCGCTGTCTCCCTATTTTACTGGTTCAACACTAATCTGTAATAGAGAATTTTTACATAGCTTCCATGTTGTGCTCAAATCGCGTTAACGTATAATAACACACACAGTAAAAATGCCAATTAGCTTACCAACATTATTCAATTAAAAGAGATACACGACAGCCTCATAATTTTCACAATACATTTCCATTTTTAGTTGTATGGTCTGTCTATAATTGTGTTTGGTAAATGTCAAATCCAAATATCAACTCACAGGACGAAGTGGGCGGACAGCGAGGTTCTCACGGTACATTGTATGTCGTCCGTCTGGATTTATACTTCAATCATCCAGCCACTGTTTTATCTAAAGTTCCATGAGATTGTGTAACTCGATAATAAGATAATTATGAGATAGGACCAGATCAGATGAACAACCAATTGTTTCTTACAGATACATTTATATATAACATTTTACTGTGTATTTTTATCTCCATCTCTATTACCGTTTTTAAATAGAGTTTGGTCCCCCGGAATATGTTTACTTGACCTCTAACTTTTAACTCTACGAGAACCATAATAAACATGTCAATTTTTTTCATATCTTAATATATTTGGTTTCTATTCAGAAACTATAAATCATGTTTCTGTTTCAATGCATGCAAGAAACATTTTACTATAAATATTTTCGATCAAAAACACGAAGTATACATCCTTATCTTAATGTCAGGATTTCTAATTGTTTCGTGAACAAATTGATCATTTGTATTTTCCTAGTTTACAACGACCAGTGAGAATAATGTAAGCTAGATATAAGTAAATTGTAAGCCAGTTGCAAAGAGACTACATGATACAGCTTACTTATTCAGCAATGAACTTGACAAGTTGGTACAATACCACACCTTTTTAAAGAGAAGTATTGTGTGTCTGGTAGAAATAACAAAATACAGAAACATCGTAGTCGAACAGTTGTTGTGAAATTTTTCTTTAAAACGTGTTCGATTTAATTCTAGCTTCAATATCAAGATACGATAGTGCGCTGCTGCAATATTACATTAAAACCCAGGTAGATATTTACTGTGCAAAATGTCCTTTTCACTATCACGTGCTGTTCATGCGTAACAATTCAATTACGAGTTACTTCCCTTAGATCACGTTAACACAGATCTTTAACCATACCACACATCAGGTACTAGTTTACATAAGCAAAATTATTATGTATTTGAATGTATGCATATAAAAATGATTCATATGTAAAAAAAATGATTCATTTGTCAGTGTAAAAAACCCTCTTATGAAAATCTAAAATACTACGCTTACATTATCTTGGACAACAGTAATTTAATATAATAAAAAATCAGATCTCTCCTGTTCACTCCAAACGCCTGTACCCGGAAAACCTAAATAGCTAACCATAGAGTTGAACGTCTTTTGTTTTGTAGTTCAAATCTTTGCGAAACTTAACTCTCTTGTGTTTAGCCATGTGCGAAATTTCATCGAATTTAGAAATAGATTTTGAAAAAAATTATTTTAATGATGTTATATATCTATGGCTACTTGTGTTAATATATATTTCACGGATATCGTGTAATTTTAAATGTATGATAGGAAGAAGGTTTTAATAAGTTATAATAACTTGTGTCTAATCCCTTGTTCGTATTTCTAATATTTGGGTTCAACAAAAAATGCTGGTATCCGTTTTTAATAAGGAAACATTAAGTTTACAGGGAAGTTGACTTGATAGGTTCCCGGTTCTACATGCCGATTTAAGTAACCCAATAGTCTTAAACCCATTCTATAAAACAGGTCCCGTCTGTCAATACATTCCATAATACAGGTCCCGTCTGTCAATACATTTATTCTATAAAACAGGTCCCGTCTGTCAATACACACATTCTATAAAACAGGTCCCGTCTGTCAATACATTCATTCTTTAATACAGGTCCCGTCTGTCAATACACACATTCTATAATACATGCCCCGTCTGTCAATACACACATTCTATAATACAGGTCTCGTCTGTCAATACACACATTCTATAATACATGCCCTCACTGTCAATACACACTTTCTATAATACATGTCCCGTCTGTCAATACACACATTCTATAATACAGGTCTCGTCTGTCAATACACACATTCTATAATACATGTCCTCACTGTCAATACACACTTTCTATAATACATGTCTCGTCTGTCAATTCACACATTCTATAATACATGTCCCGTCTGTCAATACAAACATTCTATAATACATGTCCCGTCTGTCAATACACACATTCTATAATACATGTCTCGTCTGTCAATTCACACATTCTATAATACAGGTCCCGTCTGTGAATACATACATTCTATAATACATGTCCCGTCTGTCAATACACACATTCTATAATACAGGTCCCGTCTGTCAATACACACATTCTATAATACATGTCCCGTCTGTCAATACACACATTCTATAATACATGCCCCGTCTGTCAATGCATTCTATAATACATGTCCTCACTGTCAATGCATTTATTCTATATTACATGTCCTCACTGTCAATGCATTTATTCTATAATACATGTCCTCACTGTCAATGCATTTATTCTATAATACATGTCCTCACTGTCAATGCATTTATTCTATAATACATGTACTCACTGTCAATGCATTTATTCTATAATACATGTCCTCACTGTCAATGCATTTATTCTATAATACATGCCCCGTCTGTCAATGCATTCTATAATACATGCCCCGTCTGTCAATGCATTTATTCTATAATACATGCCCCGTCTGTCAATGCATTTATTCTATAATACATGCCCCGTCTGTCAATGCATTCTATAATACATGTCCTCACTGTCAATGCATTTATTCTATAATACATGCCCCGTCTGTCAATGCATTCTATAATACATGCCCCGTCTGTCAATGCATTTATTCTATAATACATGCCCCGTCTGTCAATGCATTTATTCTATAATACATGCCCCGTCTGTCAATGCATTTATTCTATAATACATGCCCCGTCTGTCAATGCATTTATTCTATAATAAAGGTCCCGCCTGTCAATAACACTAATTCCTGAGTCATCTTCTGTAAACATCTGTATTTAAATTTCTCTCCGTCGTAACGATGTCCTCAGTGAATTATCTATATGGTGATATGCATGTAACAAATCCCTTTTTATCACGTGATTGCGTTGCTGTTCAGAGAATATAACCATTTCATACTATTGCATGTTACGCGTGTAATAAACGGTTTAATGGGATACGACTTTGAGGATTGTGACTTAACAATGAAAACCATTGATATGAAGTGGATGTACAATGTAACTGCAAGTTTTACGTAAAAATTAATGTCATTTTACTACAATATTTACTTAAAAATTCCATCATGCGATAAAAAAAGTTATAAAATTCGTTTCGAATCGATATCTAATTTAGGTAACTCGTCGGAATTTTGGTTTTAGTTATTTTAACTCGCCATATGCTCACGTAGATGATTTTTAGACTCATTTTATATCAAATGTGAACTCAGTTAAATTCTATTTATAGACTCTTAACGTCAACAAGAGACTATTACGATATATAACTATATGTCTGTAATTCGTCAGAAGTCACTTTTAAATTTCAAAAACATATTGATTAATCCCTTTTGCATTTTATATGCTAATAAAATCCATATACCTGCATACTAAAATACGTTTGTCAGACTGGCTCAACAACGTACGTCCCTGTCTAAATTCGATCACTGTCCTTTTAACAGATAGATTTCAGTTTCTCCCGATTGTAACAGGCCACCATAAGTTATACCAGACGAATAATGTCTCCAAGTATTATGTAATCCTATTGTACGGAGGACGTAACCGTAATTCAAAACAGACAAAACTAGTTGAGATTAATAGGTGCACGGTCCATATCACCTTCAGCGTGCAACATACAGTTTCCTTCCTGTAAGATCATGCTTTGAATAGATAACCGTACCCCGTATATCCCGTGCTTTTAGCAGAATGAGGATTATGTTTACTTGTTATATAAGTGAAAGTCATTTCCTGAAGAAAACGATGTAGAATAACTCTTGATATAGTTAAAGTGTAAACAAAACGCACGGCTAATAGTGCTACATTAACATTACTTTACGTATTGAGATCTACATTCCAAAGATGAATCAAACGCTATACATATCATTTATGCCTTAAACAATTGTAAACATCAAAAAAATAAAGACTTACCTGATTAACCCTAATGTCTGATTAAACTGAAACCACGTCTTACTCGCAGTCAATACCGTGCCTCTCAATGGCCTAGATAGTCAGTCTGTTTACAAAAATAAACATTAACGCATGCGCAGTATGCGTTGACTGGGGAAGGTCAATGTCCGTTCACGAACTCCAGTGTGAGCGGCCTAGTGTGACCTATACGGGTCGCGCGATACCTACACACAGAGCATTTTTAAAAATCTGTATTACACAATGCTCGCTGCTTTTCCCGGCGTTTTTGTGAGGTGCGAACGAGGCAGTTGTGTGAAGCATTATTTACTTACCGGTGTGTTGGCTCATACCATTTATATGTAGTCCTGTTTACTTAATCCAGTTACTATACATATCCCCAGATGAAGACTTTATTCCAAATGTACTTTAATAAAAAAAAAAAATCAAATACATAGAAAATGTATTTTAGCGTTGAAAACGATACATAATTCACATAAAAACATGTAAAAAAAACGATATTTTCTATCAACTTATTTTTCATTACTTACATATAATCTATTAAATGAAATATATTGTTTTTTATGTCTGATTAAGTTTGACATATTATACATAAAACACGATCCGCATTTTTTACGCAATTTGATATCTTTCGTTGTTAACCACTGATATAAAATTTCTTTAAAGTTTGAACATTAATTGACCAAGATTTGCATGGCGGATGTCGTTGATGAAACAGAACACCCTTCCGGAACACCTGATCTTCTTTTTGTCCCTATCTTGCCCTAGTTGATTCTGTTGATATGCCGGTATTTTATTTAATTTTGTTCTTCTATACCACATGTGCCCGAGTACTACGCTGACTTTCAATATTATATAACTCTCCTGTCCCTTCTTTACAGGTTGATGTAACAAAACATTGAATTTTTGAGTGACAATCTCTTTGCCGAACTATGGTGTTTAAATGTGACAGTTAATGCTATAATCAAGGACTTGTTCCGAATATCACGATTTTCGTGCAAGATGTCAACAGCTGGCAGAAATGCGTGTTGATTGATGTTAAAAGCGAAAGTTTCTCGGGAAAAATGATTTCATGGAGAAATCTGCCTGAATGGTATGAAGTTGAACGTGTTTGCTGTTAGTCACAGTGTAGTATGCCTGGCGGTCCCCTTGTTAACTTTTTTCTCATTTAGGAAAGTGACATTATTTATTCGGATTGACCAAGATTTACACGGCTGATCTTCGACGAAGAGGACGCTTACCCCTCAGGAACGCATGGTCTGATTGTACATGTATCTGTCATTTATACTCTGCACTAGTTTCACTAGTGTCATCGAAGTTGAGTTTGAAATAAGAATAAGTTCTATTGATATGCTGGTATTTTCTTCGTTTTTTAATCTGATATCTCATGACAACAGATGGTAAAAGCATTGTCCAGTAATTTTTAGATAGACTGGTGTTTTGTATTGAGATACCGTGATATTGATGTCCGTTGTCTCTACATTCCCCTGTACTAGACAGGCATGGATTCATAAGAACATTTGCTTTATCTTTGTGCTATATAAAGTAACATGATTTACCTGGATTGATCAAAATTTGCACCCTGGCTGGAGTCGTCGATGAAGCAAGACTTGGTTATCATTTTGTTACGCCTGGTTACACTCTCACTTTAATTTTATTCGAGTGTCGCCGTCTAATTCTATATATATATATCTCACAACCATCTTTGTTTCAGTGGTTAAGGCTTTTTTTTTCTCATTTTGCTCGATAAACTGTTGTAATTCTGTCACCACTTGAAGGGTGTAACATTGTAATCCTCAATAAAATACCATGCATGTTTGTAAAAGCAATTAATGTCGGCAAAATAAAAATAAACATTCTGACACAATTGACGTTGACAGTACAAGGAGATACCGTTCATGTGTTACTTAAGTTATTTCATATTTATGTTGTTGTTTTCTAAATGAGCATGTGACTACCACAATGTGGTGTAGGTGTAAAAATTGTGTAATGAAATTTAATTGTGACGGAAGAAAAGGATATTTTATCTATATTTTGCCGTTTAATCCATTGCTTGGCTCTGCTGTGTCTTATCTAAATTTGTTTTAAATGGTGTCGTTCGTCGTGACCTGCAGGATTCGTTTTAATTAACTCGAAGAATTGTAAACAACAAGATTTTTAAAATTTAAAAGTCGTGTTTTGAAGAGGTAGCTTTAGTGCAGTAGGGCTGTTCTCACGACTTTTATCATCATTACAATAGCAAACACGTCAAAATATCATAATGAGATCATGCATCACAGAGAGCTGAATAGATAGAGTAATAAACACATTGTTTCAAATGTCACGCAGACATTATATTCATGTAACATATAGATTATATAATAAAAGTCACCTTTCTAATGTACATATATGTCAATGTGGCAAAAACTATGACAGGATACATACTGCAGTGCATAATCTAAAACAACAATGCAATATTTATGGAAGAACTTTTCAGAAATTACAATATAAAAGTTTTACAAACACAAAACAGATGAAAAAGCAGTTGTAGAAATAATAAAGGCAGTACGTAAAGGTGACACAAGGTAACGGTTCGTGATGATATTTTCTTTGTACTACAACTGCACATCGAGCCGTCCAAGACGTATAGCTGTTTCCAGAAGTCGGGAAAATTCGACTTTCCATGTCTCATTAAGTAGACCGAAAGGATTTCTTACCATACCTAGTTCTCTTGCGTTGTGGAATAGTAGCAGTGAGGTCGCGTCTGAAATTATAATTTGAAATATTAAGATTGACTAGATTAGATATATACTGAGGTCTGATTCCATGTAAAGGCTTTAAAACTTCCAAAACCTTCGGTGTCAAATATGAAGGAAAGCAACAATTTCTTTCTAAAAGTATATGTAGTTGAGTGGTAAAATGATTCTCTATAAATAGGATAGCCCTTTCCTGTATCTTTTTAATTTCTAATTTCCTGGTGTTTTTCATACTTTAGAAATGCAAAACTAGATGACAATAGTTAAAGTTTGAAAAAAATGAAAGATTTGCAAATAATGATTTTGCACTTCTTGGTAATATATCAACAAATTCGTTTTAGGATAAAAGAATTGCTTGGGAGATTTTTCTGTATATGTCTGTATATATTTACATAAATTAACATTCAGATCAGAGTCGACTTCAACACACAGAAGTTTAACAGAACTTCCTAATTTAATTTCGTGACAGCCAATGTTGAAAGTAGGAATAATTTGATTTGTTTTCTTCACCTGAAAGAAAGCTTGGAATTTATCGAGATTCCGTTGCATATCCTTTCAATTAAACCAAGCTACTAAGGTGAGGTTTTCTTTTTCCAGTGAATTAGACAGTATGACATTGTTATTGCAAGGTTCAATAGACATATACATGATGTTCTAAAATCATCTTCATATATGAAAATTACGATTTTACTTAATCATGTGGTTAGTTCTTCTTCCCATCTAGATTTTGATTTGATCACTTTGGATTTTCCACAATTACCTGCTAGGTTTAACAATCAGGCCTCAGCATTTCTGACTATGATGCAATTAAAATCGATGTTTGGCTCTACTGTATCCTATCTATGATTGTATTTAATGGTGCTTTTCACTTGTGTATTTTTTCACAGTCTTTGACAAGGATTTATTTCTAGTATGGAAATCATGACAAAAACGTTACTCCAGGTCAGGTAGCTACATCTAGTTCATTACAAATCATCATATTTTTATCTCATTTATCATTATAATCGCTATCATGACCTTTGATTAATCATTATTATTTCAATAAAAGTAAAACTTTTACGATGTATACAAGTTCAGTTTTAGTTTTTACGTCGATAGCTTTATAGACTCGAACCTGACTGAAATATCTGTCCTTCTTATTCATTAGTATTGATGTATTTGTTGGATATTTTCTTCATAAATTGTTTTCTGTATTTTTCCTGGCAATTTTGTATTGTACCTAGTAATTTTGTATTGTTCTAAGTAATTCTGTATTGTACCTATCAATTTTGTATTGTTCTAAGTAATTCTGTATTGTTCCTGGCAATTTTGTATTGTTCCTAGCAATTTTGTATCGTTCCTAGCAATTTTGTATCGTTCCAAGTAATTTTGTATTGTTCCAAGTAATTCTGTATTGTACCTATCAATTTTGTATTGTTCCTAGCAATTTTGTATTGTTCCTAGCAATTTTGCATTGTTCCAAGCAATTCTGTATTGTTCCTAACAATTTTGTATTGTTCCAAGTAATTTTGTATTGTACCTAGCACTTTTGTATTGTTCCTAACAATTTTGTATTGTTCCAAGTAATTTTATATTGTTCCAAGTAATTTTGTTTTGTTCCAAGTAATTTTGTATTGTTCCAAGTAATTTTGTATTGTTCCAAGTAATTTTGTATTGTTCTTAGAAATTTTGTATTGTTCCAAGTAATTTTGTATTGTTCCAAGTAATTTTGTTTTATTCCTAGCAATTTTGTATCGTTCCTGGCAATTTTGTATTGTTCCAAGTAATTTTGTATTGTTCCAGGTAATTTTGTATTGTTCCAAACAATTTTGTATCGTTCCTGGCAATTTTGCATTGTTCCAAGTAATTTTGTATTGTTCCAAGCAATTTTTTTCCTAGTAATTTTGTATCGTTCCTAGCAATTTTGTATTGTTCCAAGTAATTTTGTATTGTTCCAAGCAATTCTGTATTTTTCCTAGTAATTTTGTATTGTTCCAAGCAATTTTGTATTGTTCCTAGCAATTTTGTATTTTTCCTAGTAATTTTGTATCGTTCCTAGCAATTTTGTATTGTTTCAAGTAATTTTGTATTGTTCCAAGCAATTCTGTATTTTTCCTAGTAATTTTGTATTGTTCCAAGCAATTTTGCATTGTTCCCAGCAATTTTGTATTTTTCCAAGTAACCTAGCAATTTTGTATCGTTCCAAGTAATTTTGTATTGTTCCAAGTAATTTTGCATTGCTCGTAGAAATTTCAATGAAAACTGTGTGTAAGATACAGATGAATAAAGGTATGTATACGTTAAAAAATTATCATAAGTTAATAAACACTCATAACGCCCAACGGTCATC